ATTTTTGAAAATCTCATTAACTGACTAGCAATTATTTTGTCATTTTACGTCCATTTATTATAATTGTTTTCTAATAATTATGTACGTGATTTTAATTGTTATCTCTTTTTGGTTATTGGTTCGAAAATAGGTCTCAATTTTATTTTTTACGAAATTTATTGTTTTCCGATTCCGAATGATTACGAAATGAAACCGTAGGGGTAATCCGAAGAGAATGAGCACAGATCAGTATTTACTATTTATAATGGTAATATGACTTACCTAAACCTAATTTGTGTGGCTTATAAAGGAGTGTAAGTAGCAATATTATCAAATTGGCTTCAGATTTTTTAGCCAATCCTTTGCTGCAGTTAGGAATGCATCAATCTCTCCATAGCCGCCATTATACTTAGTTCCAAGACATTCATCCATCTTTATGATTAATTGTCTCTGGTGTATCAATGCAATGAGGACAATTTGGTGATTCTGCGGATTTCTAGTTAAACAATCTTGCATTACAGCGACCATGTCCAGTTCTTTGCACCAAATGGTTCTAAGTAAACCACAACAAGATACCATTTTTGTCGAGTCAATGAGATCTTTATTGAGAACCTTAACTATTCTTCTCTCCATTCGTCTGTGCTATTAAAATTATGCCTCAAACATTGTTGATTCCAAAACGGAAATCTCTTCATTCTACATTCTACGTAGCCTTTAGCACGCAACCATTGAATAAAATTTTTTATTTAATGACACAACTTGTATTTTTGACACAGTATCAGGGACTAGGCATTCACTGATCATCCTGAAGGAGTTATTGTCTAGCAAAGTTCGGGCTCATCTGGATGGTATTGCAATTAGCCATCCATGTTGACGATTCCTTGGTTTTTGCGATTTGCATGGCGGTTACCTCATCATTTACAGAAAGTGGTCTAAAGGTCTAAGTTGTGTTAAAAGCTACGATCGTTATTTTAGATATCAGGAGCTAAACAATATAATTTTAAAATCATTAACTTCAATCAAAGTTCCCTCTCGAATAGAACCATGAAGATTATGTGATGACAACAAAACACCCGATGGGATTACGTTGATGCCATGGAGTGAAGGAATTGGGACGCGACGTGCTCAGCTACATAGGCCAAATCTTTTCGCAAATTATCAATCAAGGACCCTGGTCTCGTTGCTCAGAATGCTGCCAATCGGTTCAGCCGTTTAGCCGGAAATGAGAATTGGACACACTTGATGCTTTTCAGCTCCTCCTTTTACATCTGTTCTTGTCCCATTGTTTTTGTTTGAGAAGGTGGATAATCAGGAATCTCATAGTAGTGATTTTCTCATTCCAACATTGCCACATCTGAAAATGCTGACACTGGCTTGTCTGAATTAATATGGTCACCATCATGTTGACAAACTTAATACTTGATAAGTTGGCATTCATCGAGACAAGGAACGCAGGAGGAGATCTTGCGAATGCCCATTCCTCCATTACCTACTGGAAGCTTCCCGCTTCGGTAGGAAAGTAGTAAAAAGTGCTTCAAGTGCATGTTTGATTGGAGCATCAAAATTTTTAAGAATCTCCCGATAACGCAGTAAGGGCGTTGTTCTAACTAAATGCACCAGTTTTGGCCCAGCAAAGCTGTTTCTTCTATATGGTGGTTTGTGATATTTTCTAAGCGTTTGATGAGTAGATTCACTTCATCTTGCTTGACTTTAAGAGAGGACCGAATGCATTCATGCGATAGCGGAGCCCCGAAGAGGGATATATTGCCAACAAATTTAATTCCAGGCGACAAGCAATATTCAAATATTGTGTCTCTGAGAGATATCCATTTTCATATACAGAGTTTAGCATCTAAAACCCCTCGGATAATAATTCCTTTACCATAAAAGATACCGAAAGAGCCAAATTGTAGACAATTACCTTCGAAAATATTTTTGTTATAACGGATAATAGCGAAAACTTTACAGTTACCTAAAGGTATAATATGTTACATAAAAAAATAAGTACTTTTCGAGTATTTTACAAATCGGCAATAAAAAATGTAATACTCCATTAAAAAAGCAAAAATTTGATAGATACGCCACTGGAATACAGCACATCCCTAGTGATCAAAAATATTTTAGAAACACAGCGAACATATTTTTCTCTCGACTTTTTTCGGTATCTTTTATGGGTCTGATGCTACACCCTGTATTTCGTATTTGCTTAAATTGATCCATTGATCCCATTTCTTTGCAAATAGATATGAGATTCTCAAAATATTGGAACACTGTGTCTGGTTCCCCTGCAATAATCCGTTCATCTAGGTAAAACATTATCAGCCCTGAATTCAGTACAGTAATTTGTTCTTGTATGCGAAGCAAACAAGTACATATAAATTGTGCACAACTCTTGTGCAGATAAAGCGCATTTGTTTAAACTGAAATAGCTTTTGTTTTGACATCACCAATGGATATATTCCTTGCAGACGTCTCAATCGCCCTTTGTGAGTACCCTCTTCCGACAATCCGTTCTTGAGGTATAAGAGAAAATACCCGATAACGATAAGAGGGCGAGGAGGAGGGATATGGTTGGTAGAAATTAATTTCTTTCGTTGAGACCTTTCATTAGAGTACCATGAAGGATAAAACTAGTTCCACTCCCCCTCTCCTCCTCCTCCCCGTATTTTGATAAGAGGACAGAAAGATGGGCAGTAGTTTGTAGAAAACGGTTCCTTTCGTCAAGACCTTTAATTAGAATACAATGAGAGATAAAATTAATTTTAACCCCCCCCCCTCCCCTCAAGCCCCGTCGCTCACTGACGAATACCTACCGAATACCATGAGGGGTAGAACATATGTTTTGGCATGCATGCGCATGCAAAATCTGAGACCAATTGTTGGTAAACGTTATGCACGTTTTAATTTCAAAAACGGCATCTCAGGAAATAATTCGTGGGGAGGGGGGGGGGGCTTTTAGACACACCTTCAAGATATAGGCTACCTCCTGCAAAAAATTCCAGGATTCTAGGACCATTCTCCTAAAAATAGTTAAAAACGGCAGAAGTGGGTCCAGACGGACAAAACGCAAACAATAGCACTTTTTTTTTAATTCTTAAAAAATGCGCTAAAAAGTATGGGTTCAGCAAGATCTCCTTGTTGTATTGATTGTATGGTCTAATGGTCCACTACACCACCCTGTATATCACTTCCAAGAAACACTCGTTCACTTTCGTAATTATGAACAGATTTTGACCAAACTTTAAGGGTTGGGGTAACTCATAAATATCTCGACCAAGTTCGTGAATCAGTCAATTCCGTCATATTGGAACAAAATGGCGGAAAGAATCTACCCACAACGGATCGGGCGAGCCGAAAGGGATTTTTGTATTAGTGAATATTTTGCAGGATTGCCTAATTTAAAAACCAGGTGCCAGATTCTTGACAGATCAGCTTCCTAGCTCAAACCAGGTATTAAAAAAGTTTTTGACAGTCTTACATCCTTTGTGCCTAATATACAACTGTCAAAATTTTAAAGAAATCAAAATAATCGTTGTTTTATTAAATGAGATAGATGACAAAAAAGAAATTCATTTGAATACATCGCCATCATAGCCATGTTAATTCAGAAAGATCTAGTTACTCGTGGATGTTTTGTTAAGAAGTGAATGAATAACATTTGCTTTTGAAATTTTCTTGCAAATTTATGTAAAAGTAGTGTGACACTGACACGTCATTATTTTCTTTTTTGTCCTCTACCTCATTCCGTAAAAATCCAATATGGCGCCCACAAGAAATAAGAAAGTAGTAGCCTGTCACTTTTACAGTTAGCGTGCGATGGCAATCCAGATAACAGGTTCATTCATGATTCCCCGGGAAAAAAAACCCATAGAAGGTGCTAACGGGAATCGTCCATTTACGACCGTTTAAGCCATAGGAACCAGAGAGTACCCATAGTTACTCTTTGCTACGAACAATGGAAATGAAATCTTACATTTTCATTTATTCGGAAATATCTCAGTTATTTTCAAAGATTTTTCAAAAATTTTTTAGTCCTAAAAAGGGGAAACTTTGCCCCAATTTAACCTACACTGTATCTCTCTCACCGAGATTCCAATGGTGAGCCATGAATTTGAACCACACCTTGTACACAGAAAAAGAATATCTTTCGAATAATTTAATAAAAAATGTGCTTCCTATTTGAAAAAAAAAGTTCGATGCCGTTGCGGACATTTTTTTTTACAAAAATCCGGTCTGTTATTTTTTGTTTCCGTATGCCTACTATACTAGTTCCAAATCCGTCCAGCCGTTCGTTACCTCGGAAACTTGCGAACGTACGTAGGTACAGACGGAACAACATTTTAATTCTGTTGCCTAAAATCATCTAACGTCTACATTTTCACATGTCCCAAAAACGGCGATTATAAGAGCCATCCAATTTTTATGACTGTTATGAGCAATAAACAAAGGGGGTGCCTATATTCGGACCACTTCCTCGTGATTTCGCATAAACGGCCTCTCTCTCTCTCTAAAAATGTTTTGGGCCACAAACGCGTTGCCATAAATAAGATACCGCCTTTCTCCGTAGGTAGTTGGGCAGTGCAATTAGACAAACAGCGCACCTACAAAACAAAGTGCACAATTTGTATGAAACGAGAAAATTGAGTTCAGGTTTTAAATAATTAAATGTGCACATGGAGCTATTTAAACGTGATGCATTCACATGCAGGACAACAAAGCAAACGAAGGGACAGATGCACAACGATCCAGGATATATAAAGTCCCGAAAAAATCAAAAGGCAGCTGTGGACTCTTCTTTTGTTTAGTAAGAAACTTACGTATTTTTTTGTGATCGAAAAGCAGGAGGAGGTGGGTGGCAAGCTGCACTAACCTTAGCAGGTAAAATTCACCTTCGCGAGTGCAGCAGATGACAGGGTTATTTTGTAGTATCACCTCACCCTTACGGATTCGTGAAGCGTTGTGCGCATGCTCGCGCGTCCCCACTAGACCGATAGCGTCTAGAGTAGCGTTTGCTTTGCTCCGCATAGTATCAGTATCGTCATGTGTATGGTACGTGTGGTTGTTAATACGTTTCATTCTAACATCTGCTGTTAACACATGATTGTGTGTGTGGTTATTTAAATCGGTGTGATATTAATGATACGTATTCGTAAAGATTTCCAGTTCCTAGTGCGACAACTTTCAAATGACATTTCGGAAAATTGATTCGTAAAATAGAAATTTCGTTTAGTGTGCAAGGTTATTTGTCCACGATCAAAATGCAAAAAGTACAGGAATGCCCGATAGTTAGTGCGCGCTTTGGAAATTCGGACAAAAATGCCGAAGTCAGTGGTGGCAGTAGTTCAAATAGTGAATTAAACAACGCGAAATTACGGACCGCTGTTATTTTGAATAATACACGTGAAAGCGAGTGTCGTGTTCCTAGAGTCACAACTGACCGAAGTGATCCCTCACCCCTTAGTCCTAATCACAGTGACAAACACTTTCAGGCATCAATTGTTGCCGAGAAATACCTATTACTCGATCAGGTCGAAGGGAGCTCTTTATATAGATGTGTGGATATAAATACGCAAGAGGAACTCGTATGTAAGGTGTGAAATTATACCTCTTTTTTTCTGTCTCAAAATGAGTGTGCTTAAGTTCGTAATAATGTGCGATTAGCGTAATTATAGGTGATTGTTTACTAATTGCTGTGACATCGTTGGCATTTATGTAAATGAAGCTATTTTTCTCCCGTTGTTAGGATAACACATTTTAGTCATCGCCAACTCTAATTAGGTTAATGGCCTTGATTTTCCATATGATCAAATGCAATTAAAAATGGACAAACCATCTGTGAATTCTGAAAGTTTGTATGTTCAATTAAGCATTTTTCACGTACGTTTAATACACGTGAACGTGGAATTAAAAGGCCGCATTGTCTGCAAACTCGTTTAATTCTGGTCCAGTCTGCAGCAGAATCCATTATTACATTTCGCGTGGTGGTGGTGGTCATTTTACGTGAGAATTTTATATTAACAATATGAGGGGTGTAAAATCGAGTTTATTGGTCAGCGGGATTCGTAACCCTTCACCTTTTTCTCAAGCTTTTATTTAGATGTAAGAGAAGGATGTTGATTAATTGCGTTAGAAATATCTATGGGAAAATAGGGAATTTCTACGAAATTATGCACCCTCCTCGAAACGTTATGGGGTTAATAATGTAGGTATATTAATGTATGTAAAATCGTGAAGGTCGGATTTATTTGATCGTAATCGCAATCGGTATGTTTTGTAGCGGGTAATTTCGCACACTCCGCTATGTATAAATATGATACGATCGAGGCCTTTAATTTAAAGCTTAACCCCGTTTTCTGACGCATTTAAAGTTTTTTAAATCCTTTAAATTTTATTGGCTTCTTGTTGCCCTTGTAAGTAACAACGGCGAATGGTATTCGAACCTAACGTCTTTTTAAACATTTAAACAAAGCCAGTAAAGTCAATGCCGCTTTAACTATTTTAAGGTTTGGGATGTGGCGAAATTTTTTCAATGATGCGTAATTTTTATTCACAGAATCAAGTTACTTGACGTCATTGTCTGTTAGAGGTTTTTTAACGAATTTCTCATTGTTGCCATTTACGTAACTAACTGGAAGAAATTGCACTATTTGCATAAACGACGAATGACGCATTCGCAAATTTCCAAATGTATCAAAACTGCAACTGCGTTTGCGCAAATGACTGCATAAGGGTAATTTATGCGGACCGCTTCTGTTTTGTATTGGGATGAATTAATTTGCGGTTACAAAAATATAGCATCAGTTGTCCTTTGTCTCATCAATTTCCTCGCCTCGAAAACATTACTACTTATAAGGCCGGTCTGTACTTAGCAGGTGTGCTTCTGATTCCAGCACCTGCCCCCCATATAGGTACAAGTACAATATTGACGTCATTTTATTATAATCTATAAACAAACGGCATATTAGAATAATGTCGGACCATCTCGACGCATACTAAGATTTCTTGCGTCAATCTACGATAAAAGTCAATGAAAAGCTGCATAGATAATGTGGCATGATACGGTGACCTCTGAATATGTTAACACTTGCACGTCCGTAACAATTATTGTGGGTGACCTGAAGTGTAACCAACTATCATCCATGTGGAATGTTGGAAGTGGAAATTATGAAGGTGTATAGCTAGTAAATTCTGAAAAGGTCCACAATGTGAACATTTTGGAAACAGTTGGGAAAATAATTACAATCTTTAAGGTTTTTACAATGTTTAATAAATTTGTAGACAATTTTCAAACTGTTGTAGGTAAATGGTAACAGGGTATTTCAATTTCAAAGTCTTTTTAAGAAAAAACTATTATTCGTAAAGCTATCTACATAAAAATATGGTTTTTAAAACGGAAATTATTGGGGAAATTATTTATGCTGGAATTTTACATTAGTAGGTAGATATAGTTCATAGCTTTTTCCTATGTTGCGCGGTTTTCGAGATATGTATAGCACAAATTCTCATTTTTTTAATGAAACATATTTTTAATGTTTATTAAACGATATTGCAAAAATCTTACATGCTTGGCTTGGATAAAACGCAAATTGTCTCCACAAATCGAGCTATGCAGTGAATACATACCTTCATACAAATAATTACTTAAAGGAAAATAACATTCTGATTGGTTATTTTTTTGTAGGCACAATTTACCATTTTTCAAAATTGCATCGCCCAGAAAAATACGGTTTTGGAATTTCGAATTTTTTCAAATTGCACATGCTCTGTCGTCGCAATATGTAAAATTCTAGTGTGTTTTTTTTAATGCGCCGTTTTCACTTTAGCATTTGAAACCAGTCAAAACGGTCAAGCTCAGTCGGGACATCGAAATTGAGACGCCCTGTATTTTTTGGAAATATGCCGGCTAATTTTTTTCATCCGGCATACATGTTAAAATACTATTTAGAAAATCGTAGGATTTTTACCTGGTCTCAATGCTGGAATCTTTAAAAAATTGAACTTACGGTATCGAAATCAGTAGGTATAACCTACTCCTCGACCTACTCTTCAGTATCGTCCGTAATTAAAAATTTTTTAACACTTTTCAAAAATTCAAATGCATTTCCAAAATATTTGGCATTGCTGCATTTTCAAAATTTCCTTTTATACCCTCTCTCTTGCTCTCGCTTGTGTACACTAAAATTCTCAAAGAAAAAAAATCTAAAAATTATATAAAATAATAATTATGTGTGCATGTGCGCTCGGGATAAATTCCAGACAATTTAAAAAAATTCTAGATACATTCTAGAAAAATTGTAAAATTTGTTTAGAAAATTCCGAGCTATAAAATGTTAATAATGTACACACAGTATTTAGGAAGTGCGCATTTTTTCGATATTTCGAAATATAAAAATACTTATCCAAAAAAATTCAAAAATGTAAAAATAAAAACTAAAAAACCAAAATAACATGTTTGATAAAAAAGTGTTGATATTGACGCATATATGGTAACGGAAACCCAGCGTACAGAATGTTTAACTGTAAACACATCGGCACGGTAGGATGCCAGTGACTTGGTGCATGTATCAATCGGTATGCGAAATAGTAGCGCGCAGCATCAATGCAAAAAAATCCTATAATCCGATCGGGCCCAATTGTGAATCTAAACCATCCGGGGACAGAGATGTGTACATATATAAAAAATCGTCAAAATCCGTCCAATCGTTTAAAGTTCAGTCGTAAACACACGTACAGTAGAATTTTATATACAGGGTGACAATTTGAAAACTTACCACCCCCCATATCTTAGTAAATAAACGAGATATTTAAAAAAATCAAAATCCGTTTCGGTAATTTTCAGTCGTAAACACACGTACAGTAGAATTTTATATACAGGGTGACAATTTGAAAACTTACCACCCCCCATATCTTAGTAAATAAACGAGATATTTAAAAAAATCAAAATCCGTTTCGGATTTAAAAGTTGGGGTGGCTTGGAGGGGGTGCGTCGCCAACTATGTCATTGTGATTCCCCCTCCGAATTACCGAAACGGATTTTGATTTTTTTAAATATCTCGTTTATTTACTAAGATATGAGGGGTGGTAAGTTTTCAAATTGTCACCCTGTATAAAAGATTGTATGAACCAAAATCTCCATTCTTTCGTTTTTCTCGTCTCTTTGATAAAAAGAGATACTTAGCCCTTTGTTGTATTAATTAATGAACGGGTTAATGAATATTACTGTCACTTTCTCTCTCGCTTTCTCTGTTTGTCCATTTTGACTACTGAACCCAGAAAATTGTTGTGTATCACTTACTTGATCCGAACTACCTACGGATTGATCAGGAAAAATCAAAATCATTAATTAAATACCAATTTTTATGCCAAATCTTCCAAATGTATTACCACGATGCTGTGCAAGTATTCGGAAGTTGCGTTGTGCGGCCAAGATACATCAAAATAATATATGCAAGGTGGTATACTCGTTGGGGTTTTATAGGCGGTCACGTTGGCCACTTCCCGCTTCGGTTTTTGTTAAAATTGTAAATAATATCCCTCATAATATCCTCAAATTCTAAACGATGAATATGCATTATCTAAGCTTGTATCTAGCATCAAGTATGGTGGAGTTTTAAGCCATCATGTTTGATGAAAAATCGTGATTTTTGAAAAAAGTTTAAAAAAATCAATTTAAATGGCTTTTTTTAAATTAAATTTGATTTACTAAGTTCTTGTACCGAATAGTTTCATTTAATATTTTATTGCATTTTGCATATGGAATGATAAACAATGATACCAACTAAAAAAGGGCGCATTGGCAAATAAAGGTATTAACGAGGCTCCATCCGTTTTCGGAAAATTTACAAAAAAGTAAACAAAGACATCAAATTTGTATTAAGGGAAACACATTTTTTGACAGTTAGATATCGAAAATATTCCACCCATGTGAAGTTGGCCCCACCCACATGGGATAATATTATGTTAGTGTTCGAAGTTTATCGTTAGTGCTGCTACACAACATGAGAAAAATAAAAAATCAGAGCGGGGCCAACTTCACGCACTCAACTTTTACTTAACTAAATAACACACACTGTGTTAGTAGATCTAGTAGATTATTAGTGCTACGTTAGCACTGTTTTGTGCACATGGGTAAATATTACTAAAATTAAAAAGAAAAATTTAAAGAAAATTAAAATTTTCCAAATGCTATGAAAACTTTCCCATCGGATGCAGTGCAGCTTGCAGCATCTAGCCGCCTAGGCGATAAGAATATACTTCACCAGTCTAAATGAACAGTTTCTTACCTCCCCCGTAGATAGCGTGGATACAAGGGTGCTGTTCTATTATGTGAATTGTTTGTGTACTCCGTGGGAACAAGGCGATCTCGTATTTCCTTTGTAAAATGTTTGTCTGTTCCCGACTATTTGCCACCTCCGCGTTTTTTCGTGGAACAGGCGCCTTTGAACTGGAAACCGATATCGTATAGCCCATTTCCATTTTTATATGCAACTATGATAGTCGGAAAATTAAAAAAATAATGTCACTTATCACGTAATCGCTTAACAATGATAATCACTTTATTTGTAATGTGACCTTTTATAGTTATTAGTTGCAAAATGTGTCCTTTTCGTTCGTCCTTGTATCTGTTTTGATTACATAAGGTTGCGTCCGGTGTTGAGTTGTCGTTAGTTATCAATAAATACGGCGAATTTTTCAATTGTTCATTAAACATGGGCGCGTATTTACAATTTATTTTAATTTCAAAATGTAGCCGTGTTTCTCTCTCTCGGTTATAATAATCACTGAAGAAATACCTACTAATATGGAATATCTGTCGAAATCGCGTTTAATCTGTTGCAATTGTGGGATCGGTCATATTAAATATAATGGAGTGGAATTGCACATTACCTACCAGTGTTATATGTGCTCATAAATTGCGTTTATAAACAAGACGCATTTCTTTTCCTTTTATGACATCCCAACCAAACTATTTATAGGTGTCGTAGGTAACACATTAAACAATCAGCGGGACCGAATTTACATTTTTTCTATTGTCTTACATCAAGTTAATAAACCTGCAATAGTTACATCACGCACACGGTTACAGTAATTTTTAATTTAAATAATTCCGCCACCTTTTTGATACGACATTTCTGTGTCACGGTCTAGTTGGAAAAGTCTCATTCCACACTTACAGTACAGCAGCTTCCTTTAGTTTAAAGTGATAAAAGTGGCATCATTTATTAAATAAACATTTCGTCCGCGATTGCACATCATTCTTGATCCGTTATGAAATCGGTTCATGTTTACACAAAATCAAACCCAGTAACCTTAATAATAGGTTTTTCCAAATCAATTTTCTCCCGAATTTCCCCGCTAACGCACCGCATAATAAAATTTTTCGACGTTATTAATTCGTGATACGTGAATGGCTATGCTATTTACTCACCCAAGGTCCTGACATTTGAGCACCTTTAAACATAAAAAAGTAAAATGCAAGGCTAAAGGGCAACACTTGCCGATGTACTCCATTAACCACGTACGTTCGTGTGGTGATGACATTACTTTGATTACCAATGGGGAGTTCGACCTTTATCTCGCGATCTCTTTAAATCCCATTTCATAAATTTGTGTGTGGTCACACATTATTTCGGTCAATTGAAAGTTTGTATAGTTACGCCATGAAAATTGCGTTAAGTACGCCTTTTCTAAATCCTTTACCTCTCCCAAATTTTGTAATGATTTATTAAATCGATTGTTTGTCAACAGCAGTGGCACCCATTGTCTTAAAACGACAACGCACGCGTTTTATTGGGTTTGTGGCGCGGCGCGAGTGGGACGCGGTCGAACTTGTCCAATTTCGCCGTAATTATTTACCCGCCTTTTTTTATTTTGATGACTCATTATTGCAGTCGTCGGGCATCAAATCGCGTACGTATCGCTAAAAATGGTGCTATAGGTGAAGCTGGATAAGGAATTGACGAGTTTTTGTGGTTGATCCGAGAACCTTGGGGTTATAATGTATGAAACAGGTGGAATTGGGGTGAAACTTAAAGAGATAGTAGCAGGGCATCACCCCCATCTGTTTCGGCCTTGGTTGCACTTCGCTGCAATAAATACCTACGTGTGATTTAGCTGGTTTTCTATCATCTCTAGGTATCGGGCAACACAAAACAATAGCCTGGAGCACGCCATGCTTTCAATGAACGCAATTGAAAATCTAATTCAAAATCTAAATTATTTAAATATTGAATCTAAGATGGCTAGTATGAAGTTGAATCTTGAAGTGAATAAAAACGACTACCTATAATTAATTACATTTTTCACAAAAAAACGCTTTCCCAATTCTACTTTTGAAGTTCTAAAAGACACCGTTGACAGAATTTCAATACAACGTTTCGTTTCGGAGAAATCATCAACTTTATTTTTTATATGGCCCGTAAAAAAGTACATACTCTATATTGAGTAGCATTTTTTATTACGAATACAACGTTATATGGCATAGAAAAAAAACAAAAGTTGGTGGTTTCAACAGGATGGTGCACCCGCGCTCAACGCCCTAATAATGCGAGAATATCTATCGAACAAATTTCCTTGGAAATGGAAAATTTCTCCGATAGGTATTCTCGCACAATTAGGGCGTTGTGCGTGGGTGCACCATTTTGTTGAAACCAACAGCTTCCACCTTTCATCTTTTGTTTTTTTGTCTGTGCCGTATGTCGTTGTATTTTCGTAATAAAAAAATGATACTCAATACAGAGAGTACTTTTTTTACGGGATATATAAAAATTGATGATTTCTCAGAAACGAAACGTTGTATGAACGCTGTCTATCAAAAAGTGGTAATGAGAAAGTGTTTTTTGGTTTCTGTTCAAATAACATCAGAAAAAAATAAAACCAAATCGGCAAATTTCGGTTTTTCTGGCATACCTTCGGAAGTAATCGGAATTTTCTGGTTTTGCTTAAAGCATGATGACTTTAATTGCGCATCGTTTCTCTAAATTGACCATCGTTTCTCTAAATTGACCATCTATGGTTTCGGAAATCTCGAGGGAAATCTCCATTATAGACACAGTGTATAGCTTACAAGAATAAATACAGGGTGAGTCAAAGCTAAATTGACTATCACCAGTTTCAATGAATGGCTCTCACTTCGGGTGGTAGAATTAGCTGCTGCACAGCATGTGATTTTAAAATGATATTTAGGGGGTGACCTAGAAAGTTTACGACGTTTTAAATTTGTTTAGTAATGCAGGTGGCGCCCTCAACTAATGACAGATTTTCCAACTAGTATTTACTTTGACCTTAGTCAATTAATGTTGATACAACTGTGTGTCAAAAATAAGAATGAACAACATTGGGAAATCGGAATCGTAAAAGATACACATTTGGTTAAATTATACGAGTATAAAAGTTGACTATTTTAAGGGTTAGTAAAATGATGTTAAGTATAAACATTCAGAAATTCCGATCATTTCCGAAGGTATTCGAAAACAACCGAAATTAATCATATTCGGTTTTATTATTTTCTGGCCATGTTTGAAAATATATCAAAAAACAAATCACACTTCCTTATAGGCACTTTTTAAGGGTTGCAAGATGGCGCCCACAGATGTTCATTGCGACGTTTCGTCTTTGAGTAACAATCATCAACTTCATATTTTTATATGGACCGGAAAGGACCAAAAATACTTTTTTGGGCCTAGGTTTCGAAAGTCTTTGTTAATCTTTTTCTCAGAAACGTTCACAAAAAAATTGGAATAATCTAGTTTTTGAACATTTGAAAAAGAAAATTTTCTGCGACCTGCGACGATTCTGAGTTATTCTGCTGTAAAAAAATACTTCAACCGAGACTTCAACACTAGAAAATGATTAGTCCACTCAATATTGCATGTCTCTAGACGCGAAGGTTTTTTAAAAAGTTTTTGGGTTCGGTATTTTCATGTTAAAAAAACTCGCAGATTAAATTAGTCTTTGCACCCTCGTTTGTAACATGAATTTTGTAAAGAATTTTATAGAATCAGAAAAATCATATCCAAAAACCAATGTAAAATCGGGAAAAAAAATTAAAAGAGAAACGCAAATTTTGGAATTTTTGGTGACGTAACTCCTCTGGTTTCTTGTGGTCTCCCTACCATGCACAACTTTTGACATACTTCAATGTTACATCCTCTATACTAAAAGGTGGTAGGACTGTCCTAAGATCTCGCGTAAGATTTTCCGTTGTATCGGTTTTTTTTTAAATTAAAATAAATTGAGAACGATTGAAATTCCACTCATTTAAAAACTCGTAATACATAATTAGACATTTTAGAATTTTAGATTATTTTATTTTTTTTATTATTTATTAGTTTTAGATATGTATTCAAATATCAAATACTGTAAAATTAACCAAATTAAAATATAAAAAAAACAAAATAATAGTTGGCTTATGGCGACATCAAAGCTAGAGAATTTAGAATGGACTAGGAGCCAAAAAGTTTTACGCCAATAACTTTTTATTTTATCTCTCTCTTTCGAGTAAGTTGCGGTAAATAAACTAGGATAATTCGAAAAATTGAGAACAATTAAAATCTCCCATATTTAGAAATTCTAAAAAATTAGAGAAATTAAATTTGTGCACTCAAATTCAGGAAAATTAAAAAAAACAGAAGTTAAAAAATTGCAAAAAATACGAAATTTGAGTTGTCAATATATAAACTGACCTGATGGAACGCAATTAGATAAATATTATTTTTTTACTTAGCTACTTTCTTAATACGGCGAATGAAAGAGTTTTATTTTTAGAAGAATTGAATGTTCTGTAAGAATAGTTGGTTTAGACCAAATATTATACCCTTCGTCGTTAGTGGAGTAGCGTAAAATGTATAACGTACGGACAGAGGGACAATTTTGATCATTAAATCTTATATTACACTGTGCCTATACTAATTATTGAAATTTTCTTTCAGGTGGTGTCGCGAGACTGTCACAACCTTATATCGGCCCACTACCGTTTAGATTCACACCCGAGAGTATCCTCGCTACACGAAATACTAGTAGGAAGTCGTTATTTATACCTGGTGTTCCCGAAAGCGCACGGTGATTTACATTCGTATGTCAGATTACGAAAAAGGCTACGCGAGGCGGAGGCGAGAAAATTATTTAGACAAATAGCGGAAACCGTACAAGCGTGTCATAGGAATGGAATAGTATTGAGAGATCTTAAACTTAGGAAATTCGTATTCGCCGATACACAAAGGTAGGTGTCATTTTGTAGTGTAAATATATACATATTCACCCGTGAATCGTGATAGTAATCTTAACAGCACTTTAATATTAAATGTTTGTAATGTTTGTTCAACAGGTAAAATATTAGTAATGCAAATATTTAAGCAATTTTTATGCTGACTGTGCTTACAAAATGGTCTGATAAGATAACTGAAACCTTGTGAATTTCGCTACGTTCTATCAGCTGGAGGTTCTCGGTATGGAGATATGAAGTTTGATCTCATTTTCACTTAGAATAGTGATTTCAGTAAAAGTAAAATGTAATAGTATTATTTTCTTCTTCTAAGCTTAAAGGGCCATGCGCAGGCGCAGATGATATATTCCCGTAAAGCATATAGCGGTATGAAATATGAATATGACAACTTGAGAAATATTATATGATTTTGCTACTAAGAACAAGCCGCACCTTGCATGCACCGTAGGAATGCATTGAGATATTTGATCAAAAGATACGAGTATGTTGTAGATTTGAGTTTTATTGCCCAATCATAATTTTACGGTTAAAATAATTTGGCTCGCGTGGATTCTATTTTGATGGCTAACAAAAAAATGCCGACGTTCATAGAACAATGCACGTTCATTTCTCTAAAAATGGATGACCTGGCACGGATAATTCTATCTAACGGCATACATTTGTATTCCGTTACACCTTGCGAAATTCGAACTCGACCCCTTTTTATATCTCCACTTACAGTCCTCGTGCATTCTCTTGGTAATGAATAAATGCAAAAAGAACCGGCATCAAGAGTAGAAATCGATTTTCTACCTGAAAATCAAACTTTCGCTCGAGCTGGAATTTAAGCGCTACTGTTTGGGGCGGCCAGGCGAGCCGCTGCATACTTGCACATAAAAAATATATCCGGTTATTGCGAAAGAGCTCCCGCAGGGTTGTTCACCCCAACCCAACTGCAGAGCTTTAAAATCACTGCGTTGACCTTCATAGCTATCCCCCCGCTTGACGGGCATGTAGCAATAACAACAGTCTGAGCCAAATACAGGTGTGCAAGCGTGCATAAAATGTAAATAAAATTCAATTTGCGCGCACGGATTAAGAGATTTTTCGGTGCGGAATATAATAGTAATATCTCCAAGGATGGCCATGGCAACAATAGCATTTTGTGCTAATGCACTCGGACGAGTTAGACTCACAAACTGGTTACACTTTAGGTCAATTTCTTGTGTTGCAGAAACAAAAAAAAACTGAGTGTTAGGTTATTCGGAAACGTTACCCCTCTCGCCCATTCTTTTCGCTTGTTCTCATAGAGTTCTCTGAACTGTTCCCCTTTCGTCCTGTTGCATCGCCGCAAAATTTGCAAGCGCGATAGGCATTTCCTTTGACTTTGAAATGGATGGATTGCGGAACTTCCGGTGTTGTTATTAATTATGTAACTAATTATACTGGTGCAATTGTTACGTGCAATCCATCATTTGCACACTCTTAGGCAAATTAAAGAAATTTGCAGATTATTGCATCTTAAGTAAAAATCTACTAAATTTATCACTGATTTGGCAAGGCAAAGGTTAGATTACGAAATTGAGGTTAATCGGTGAGGAATTGAAACTGCTTATGAGAATAGGATTCAGTTATTAATTAAATAATTTCCCAAAAAATAACAATATTTCGAAGAGGTGCCCCGTATCATGAAAATAATAAAATGGAGCGTATTCCATGTAAAGTTTTTTTTAAATTGGACATTTGGATTCAGTAGAAAAAAATATATACAAAATTCTGATATATAACCATCTTTCTAACTCTACAACTAAGAAAGATAGTCATAGTGCCGACTTAATTTGAAACACACTGTAGACTTCCATCTATATAAACTAAAGTTGGTTTTGACATGCACGAATTCATGTATTTTTATGCTGCTTTGATTTCTAAAAAATTAAATACCCAATAAAACACAAGCTACTCACGTTTTACATTATAATGGAACGCGCCGTCGATGATCCTCAAGAAACAATTCCTAGACCACTATTGTTTTGATTATGCACATGTGTGTTGAATATTCCTTCCCACCTAATGCGGTTGTAGTACTCACTTAAACAGGAGTCATACGAAAAAAAAATTATTTTAGTACAGGTCTGCACGTCCAATTACTGTTAGGATTTTTTTATAGTCGTTGTTACGCCCACAATACAAAACGTACAGTTTGCAATAAAGTGAATTAGAGTACGACACGGTCTTTTATTAATGTTGTTATTAATTATCAAAATTGCAAAATATCCAATCGAGATTGCAACGGCACGAGATCTACACGCTTTTAACAAGCCCACTTAAAAATTGACATTACTCAAAGTTCTTATGTTTGCCTCGCCTTCTTGGCAGAAAAAATATCATTCATATTTTGGTGGATCAGGACAAATGAATTTTTACAAAAAGTATCCGTTTTACACGTAAAAATTGTGAGCTCTTGTCATTTCTCAATTATTTAATTTTTACTGGAGAAGATCAACCAATAATATTCCCTGGCTCTAAATAATGGGCTGTTTTGAGAAACGCGTTTTCCAGTGCGCCAAAAGGGAGATTGCTACACTAACGCTACGTAATCTATTTCTTGGAATTATTGCGCCAATTTTTTGGGAATTTGCGTGTTGTAGATCGACCTTTTTGAATTTCCCTAAACGAGTTAAATCCGAATTTCAAAAAATCGGAAATATTTTAGACGAACTATGCAAAAAAGATTCCACGTCGTACACTGTCTTCGTAAAATAAGTGTACGTGCGAATTTGTATTAAAAATTATCGGAAAATTACAAAGGTACGAGTGGACTTTTCCGACGCGACCGAATCGGAGTTTAGAGTGCCGCTTTGATGAATGAAAAATTCTAATTCGATAGCGGAAACTAAAAGCGAGATTAACACAGCTTCGGCGTGTAACATTGAATTTGTTTGGCCTTTTCATCTGCTAATAATATCTTACATTGCGAAAACGGAGAGCTGATTGATAGCAGCCACTATAAATAATACTAGTCCTTCTAAATATCCAGGTACCCTTCCAGAAGGACCGTACCGAATTGTACCATAGGGAAACCATCGATTGTAGAAAATGCTGCAATGAAGGTCATGTTTTGATTTGTATTCGGGATTATTGTCGATTCTATTTTATAAATTGCGTAAAATTTAATTGAAAGAATTCGGAATAGTATATTAAGAGACTAAGTATTGTATAATCTTTTTAAGCACCGCGCAACATTGTAACCAATTATAGACGCCTTCCTAAGAGTATTTTTATATTATATGTACCTGCAACATAATTTAAAAATACATAAGGGAAATAAAATAATACTGACGTGTAATACTAAAATACCATTCTGATTAAGTGAGCTGATTATTCGTAATTCCATGATTGCCATGGAAATTCCACTTATAAAAATCACTGTCCATTCAGTGGCTTGCTGCAGAAGCAGAAAAAGTTGGTACCTGCAAAAATCTAAGTGCAAAAGCCTATTATAAAGAAGATGAAAGGCTTTTAGCGTCTGCAATGCACCGTTAATGTTGGCATATATGAAGGAAATGTCAAACGTATTTCTTCTACTCTTTGGTGCACACATTCAAAACTTCATACTGGGACTAAAAAGTGGAACAGATTTAGCAACATACCTACTACCTTCCAACAGAGGAATTACCAGCCAAAGACAGCTTTTGCATTTGCAGAAAGTGATCCGAGAGGATTTTTATTTCAGTCCCAGATTATAGTTTGATATGTCATATTTGAAGTAACGTTATTTAGCAACTTTTAAAGCTCGGCGTGCTTTAATCACTTTTTTGCACGCTCGGGCGTGTTGTAAACAGCGATTCTGATGCAGGTATAATAAAACAGATAATACACCGTCCATGTAGTGGGTTGATGCAAAAGCAGAAGAAAAGTTGGTAGGTGTATAATCCAAATCCAGTAAAACGGAGCGTATGTCTCATTCAAGAAAACGGAGATTTCCCAATGGCGGCGAGTCTGCTTGTAATAAACGAGTTCAATTTGGTTAGCTATAAGGTGTTTTTTTGTATACCTTATTGTTATTTTTAAGTGATAGATATACGGGTAAGTTAGAATAGAACGTGGGCACCTCACCTTAAGGTGATAAAATTTTTACTAAACGTAAGAAATTTTTAGATAATGAAAATGTAGAGGGAAGACGGAAATACACGTTTTTAATCATCAGGAATTCGAATCAAATAAAATCTCGATGATGCTGGTCTGTCGGTCCGTCTGTACTCTCATTTCTGGCTAAACGGTTGAAGCGATTGGAACCAAATCTGGTACACATGTTCTTAGGCATAAAAGAAACAGATGAAAAACTTTTGGGCGAATCTGTGCTAGCCACAGCAAATTCTATTAATATAGTTTATTGTCTGCAATCGAATATGCTCAAACCAGAGCGCCACATTTTGATTTTCAGGACTGAAGGAAAAAGTCAATTTTCCGTAAGGCATCATTGTAGTAGAAGTAGAATAGGGAGCTTTCATCCCTTGTATTGTACAAATTGTTACAAGACTAGTAATGTAAACGATCTCTACACTTTTATGATCACTTTGGTGGCGTTCAATGTTTGAAACGTGAGATTTTAAGAGCAGTACCCCGGTACCCCCTCTCCGCCCTCTTATATGCCCTCCCCTATGCAGATGCTGCTCTGTGAAGTTAGAGGACAGAGAGTTCACTATTTTAATAGAAGATGGCCGTACTGCCAGTGATCCAACAAATCTTGACTTCTCCAACTGGAATGTCTAGTTTTTATAACAGTACAAACATTTTACACAGTGTCCACTTCAGAGAAATATTAATGTTTTTGTCGTTGCAAATTAATCTTCAAAAATTCAATGGCAATAATATAATAATATAATCCGTCTCGTTGGGCTTATTTTACAAAATTTTCTTTGCCTTTCGGTCCTACCCTAACCTTGACGCCGAACTCATGCGTCTTTTTGTTTTCGTTGGCTCCTGCATGCTTATTAATAGTGCTCAGTAGATGCCCG